AACCCTTTGAATATAGAGGCTACATTTTGTTCATCTTTGTACCTTCATATCCTGTTCATTACTCTTCCAGCATATCTCTTTGAATCCAGAACCTTCATCTTCTAGTGTTTTCCCATTTCTCCTATAACGATTACTCTTGTAATAGTTATCGTTGGCTGGGCGCAGTGGCCCACACCTGTAATCGTAGCACTTTGGAAGTCCAAGGTGGGCAAATCACCTGATGTCCGGAGTTTGAGACCAGCCTGGCAAACGTGGTGAAACCCTGTCTCTACTAAAATACACAAATGAGTTGAGCGTGGTGCTGGGCGCTTGTAATCCCAGCTACTCGGGAGGCTGAGGTGGAAGAATCACTTGAACCTGGGAGGCACGTGACTAAGAAGTCTATACAATTTTACTTTTTTAACCGAATGTTATCCAAACTTATTTGAAAATTCCTCCTACCTCTACTTTTAGATAACATTTCTATTATCATCCTGAAGAACAGTCCTCCATAGGAACCTGTTTGGCACAAGAGAAACACAGCCAAACCCCCACGCAGTAAAATATCCAAGTTTAAGTTTTGACTCCTCAAAAGCGTATCTAATAGCCTACTGTCGATCAGAAGCCTTACCAATAATATGAGTTGTAGATTAACACATTCTGTATATGTATTATATACTGTATTCTTACAATAAAATAAGTTAGAGACAATCTTAAGATAATCTTAAGTATGCATATTTAGAAAATATGTATATTTAGTATTCATTAAGTGGCAGTGGCTCATCATAAAGGACTTCATCCTCTTTATCATCACATTAAGTAGGCTGAGGAGTAGAAGGAAGAGGAGAGGTTGACCTTGCTGTGTCAAGGGTGGCAGAGGTGGAAGAAAATCGTGCACAAGTGGACTCGTGCAGCTCAGACTCATGCTGTTCAAGGGCCAACTGTATGTACTTTAATAGATCAGTTAGATCATCTCCCATGACTCGCAAATTGAAATAATTTTCATAGTGCTAAACCTAAAGGACTGAAGAAATAAGCCTTTGTTATGTAGTATCTAGTGTACAAGAATTTATTTTGAAATAATGTTAAAATGAGAATTATGTTTTTCAGCTGGAATGTAACTAGGGTGCAGGCATTACTGCTGCATTGCTCTTTTTACACCAAAACGAATTTTAAGTTGAACTGTATCAGGCATTTGCAGATACTTGCAAGTCAATCAGTATTTTTAAAACATTATTTTTTTTTATTTAAAGGTGTTTCTTCATGTGATTAGATGCTTGCAAATGGATGACTTGAGCAAGAGTAGTTCTAGCGTGGGTCTTGGCCTTGAGCAGGAGAGCTGGCCTCCTGTTCCACAGGCGTCTTGGATGTTTAGGAGGCTTCCTCCTGAGCATGTCCCAGACAAGCACCTTCTAAACAGCTCAATTTCTCCCAAGCCAAAAATTGATCCTTTCTTTGATTCCTCTTTCAGACTCCATATCCAATCAATATAGAAATTTGGTTAGCTCTAATTACAAATATATATTCCAATTCTGACCACTTTTTTACTGCTAGCCTTTGTCCAGGTCACTGTCATCTTTGACTGGATTATTCCAAGAGACAGTTGATCGATCTCTGTCTCTCTCTTTCTCTCTCTCTCTCTCTCTCTATCCCTCTCTCTCAAAAGCAGACAGGAGTGCTATTGAAATGGAAATTGAGGCTGAGTGTGGAAATCCCAGGACTTTGGGGCTTCCAGGCAGGAGGATTCCTTGAGCCCAGGAGTTTGAAACCAATTTGGGCAACATAGTGAGACCCCTGTCTCTACAATTTTTTTTTTTTTTTTTGATTAACCAGGCCTGGTGGTGCTCAGCTTTAGTCCCAACTACTGTGAAAGCTAAGCTGTGAGAATCATTTGAACCCAGGAGTTTGAGATTACAGTGAGCTTTTTTTTTTTTTAAAGCAAAAGTAAGTTGGACAAGTTACTCCTCTGTTTAGATGCCTGAGATGGCTTTTCTTCTCACTCAGAATAAAAGCTGAGGTTGCTGTGGCCTTCAGTGTCCCTATTATCACCTGCCCTCTTTTTTCTAATCTCTTGGGATGAGACTGTCCTCCTCCTCACTTACCGGCCCCCAGCTTTATGCTCCACATCACTGCTGTGAGAATGAACTGAGATTCTGCCTTCAGCTGTCTGATTGTGCTCTCCTGCTGGGGTTGCTGGCCTTATTCCTTTTCAGGCCACATGCCTTCATCTTCTTCACTCAGTCTCATTCCTGAGCCACCCAAATGTAGAATTTCAACCCCTTGCTGATGTTTTAAGATCCTTGTTCTCTACTTAAACTTATTCTCCTACAATTTGACACTGTTTAATATGATACATATTTTACGTTTTGTTTCCTTGTTGTCTGTGTCTCTCACTGGGTTGTACATTTTTTGAGGGCAGGGACTTTTATTTGTTTTGGTCACCTGTGTATCACAGCTGCCTAGAACTATTCCTTGCTTAATGTAGATCATTAATAAATACGTAAATTAAATGCACGCATGAATGAATAGCACTGTCCACAAAGGAGGACTGGCTCAAGCTTAGTGTCACTGTATCCTGTTGAAGAGCAACAGTTGTAGAGAATGCTCCAGGAAGGCTTGACCTGAACCGTTGGTTTTCTCATCATAGGCGCAGGACCCCTCACAGCTAGCATGTAGTAAGTGATCAGTAAACGTGATGAGACAGGGAATCAGGCATGAAAGAATGAGGATTTATTGGGAGCAAGGCATGTCAGATGTCAGTTGGCTAGCTTTCAGATTTGTGATCATTTTAGTTTTATTTCTGGTGATAGTGGTATCTAGATTATGTGTGTGTGTGTATATATATATATATATATATATATATATATATTTTTTTTTTTTTTTAAAGTTATGTTAAAACAATAATGTTACAGTGTAAGTGTAGAGTAGCCTGCATTCAGTAATTACATATGGCTGTCAATATTATGTCTATATTGGTCAGTAATTTAATGCTAGTCATGCTCAGCTTATATATATTTTTTAAGTGAGTGGGATTTTGAGGCTTTTAAATCATTTGTACCTCAAGCGAAATTTAAAGAATTAGTACTTATTTTAAGTCCAGTGTTGGTAGAGTAAATATTTCGCATTTGAACATAATTGAGGTGTGTTACAGTATTAAAACTTTTTCCTTTTTTCTCCATGATAATGAAAATTATTATTTCACTAAACATTCAGCACTAGCAACATTCAGCACGTTAGGACATTATTAGGCGAAAGTTTTTTCTCCCTATTTACTTTCATTTGTCCCACTGTGCCATGTAATATTTTTGCTTCATTCTCAAAACCTAAACATTTTAATTAATAATTCTGTTTTCTATTAAAAACTGCACTGTGGTTTTTAAGTTCAGATCTCTTAAATTATACTTGGTCATGTAAATAAGCTGTGCTTTGCAGCTTTGGGTTTTTAACCTTTGCTCTTTGCTATTAGCTTTATGTTTTTTTAATTATAGGAAAATGGAGGACAGTAGGGAAGTTATGACTTAAATGAACTTGTTATTACTGTATTCTTTTTTAAGGAAATGAAAAATGTTATTTTGTCAAAATCAAGGAGTAACATATAGAATTTCTTGTATTTTTTTTTAGGCTCGGCGTTTAATATTATCACAGTTGTTTTACATGTGATGATTTCATTTTAGTGATTGATGTTTGTACCAGTTATTTATAGTTGTAAAGCGTGTATTGTCCATAGTTGTTATTACCTAATGTATAAAATAGATGATTGTTATTTTCAGTGTATATATGTTGCATTATTTGAATAAAGAAGTCATGGTCATTTGGCCTTAAACCTGAGATCCTCTAATATTATATTAAATTAAGCAAGATAAATTTGACATGAAAATTAGAAAAGAAGCATTTTTTTAAAAATATCGTTTTGCTTTTGGCTTTTGTCACAAGTCTTTTCTGCAAGGATACCGTACTTTACAGTCTTGTGTTGCTCATTTGTGCAAACATGTCCAGATGAATTCAGTGTTTAATGTTGAGAATCTTATAACATGCCAATTTGATTTGTAGGCCTTCATATCATAGAATGCTAATTAAAATCATATTTTTGCATATGTCATGTCTTTCGTGTACATATGCAAATAGATTCTGTTGCCTTTCAGCTATTAGTAATTAACTTTATGAAGGACAGCTGTAATACATAATTAACAAAAATGTTTGCAAGCCCTTTTACACTGAAAGTTACAACAGTAAATTTTTTTTCTGCTTATCAGAGAGCCATTTTAGTTTTGATGCTTCTGAATGTTTCTGATCTAAATTGTTTTAAATAGTCGCATGAAGTAATTAAATTGATACTGCACTGTGTTCAAGGGGAGAATGGCATTCATGTACTGCTGATTCCTGTCCATTTCATATTTATGTCAACAAAATTGTATTAAGTAAGCTGATTTGTGTATAAGACAGTATTTCAGGTAATACACTTGTTTGTTTTAGTTATTTATATCTAGGCACTTCAATGCAATTTTTTTGTGCTATAGATACAGTAAACGTTTCATCATTTAAAAAACCTCTCTCCAAGTTGTTACCATGTTTTTAGAGGAAGCTCCATGAAAACTATTCATTTTCTGTTTTACGGTCCTCTAAATATTTAATAAAATGACATTTTCTCAAACTCATTTCATGATTAAAGTGTGCGATGACCTTGGGACAGTGCATGTTATAGTGAGGTATTGCTTCATCTTTTGTACCAACTGGAGTGAAGACAGTGACTGGAGAACTACAATTCTTGTTGTGCTCTTTTGTTCACTGTTAGTGTATCCAAGTCAAAAAGTGAACCGTCCATTGACATGCAGTTGTTTCTTCTGTTTAAGCCCTACGGTATATTTAACCTGTGTGGAAGCTTTGATGTAGCAAGACTGCCACTGTAATATTCTTTTTATGCTGAGTTTGCAAATACTTGTTATTCTTAAGTAGTTTTTGTACAGATTTCTAGTGGAGAGTCAAGTTTTAGTTTTATAATTACTTTTATTTATTTTTTTTAGGGTTGCTTTTGTAATGAAGAAGCACTTAAATACTCATCTACTAGGCAAGCATGGAGTTGGCACCCCAAAAGAAAGGTAATTTTCATCCATTTTTTTCATTTAAAAACACAATTTGAATTTCATTTTAGCTTTATTTAATGACATGACTTCTAGAATTTTTATCACATCAGTTCATCATGTTCTACTTGTGGTACGCTCTTGTCGAATATCATATTTTATGCTATTGTTGCACAAAAATTTAACATCATATATTAATTAAAACTTGAATCTAGAAGTAGTTGAAAGCATTTGGAGGACTTTGAATTTGTGAAACAACCTTGAAATAGTAGAAGAATTAAATTGGAGGGAATTGCCTTCTGTAAATGCATTCGAGTGTGCTAAAACAAGTACGTAAAACTCAACTGTTTTATTATGATGTATTATTTTGAGGTTTTAAAATAACATTTTTGAATTCTTACTGTAGACTAAAGATTACTGATATTAAAAAGAAATACATCTTGTGTCATACCCCAAATAATACTACAGTTGCCATGTCATGAAAAATAACACTACAATTACTGTGTCATCAACTGCCAGGTTTTCTTTTTTCTTGCTTCTGTATCATAATTAGCTTCATCACATAGACTTAATTATATTAGGTGAACTGAAATATAGCAGTGTCAGCTACCAGGTGAGCATGGCTACTTCTGATATTTTAAATCTTTAAAATGTGCAACTCACTCACACTGGTGTGAGCACTGTCACTTTCCTTAAAGACAAGATGGATTTCAGCTTCCCTCAGATTCTCCAAGGTAGGATCCAAAATTCTACAGATACTCTCAGAAACTTTAGTTTTTTTGCTACTATTTTCAAAAGTCGATAATGATGCATTTTGTTCTGTTACTCTGAAGCCTGAGGTCTTCAGTCATATTTGTAAATGTTTAATAGTCTTTTTAAAAAATATAAAATGTTCTTAGCAGTGTTTTCTCTGTTTATGGGAATTTAACTTGACTTTTCTACTGTAGGCATATTGTTTTCTTTAGCAGTGTAGTGTGGGCAGAGACTGCTACTGAGTCCAAATTTTGGGATCTTGGGATGCTTCCTTTGCACCCATATGTTTAGTTTCCCATATCTTTCTTTGTAACATTATATTCAATAATTGCAGCCAGAATATATGCATTGAATGTGTTAGGGATGCATTATTCTTGAAATTTAAAAGCATACTATATTTTTTAAAGAATAATTTGGGACATGTCAAAATTATATTTTGTAAGTGTTAAGTATGTAGAAACAACATGTTTGAAATTGTTGTGTTTCCATTGCTTTCACATGCATTATTACCTCAAGTAATTCTTCTCTGACCATGTTAGCAATACTTTATAATTCCAGTTTTATGGATCTAAGGGCTGAGAGGGCCTAGAAAATACAATAGTAATTTATTCAATATCTCATAAATAATAAATGATGGAATCGTTATTTTTCTGACTCTTTTTTTGACACAGAGTTTTGCTCTTGTTGCCCAGGCTAGAGTGCAATGGCGCGATATGGCGTGATCTCGGCTCACCGCCATCTCTGCCTTTTGGGTTCAAGCAATTCTCCTGCCTCAGCCTCCTGAGTAGCTGGGATTACAGGCATGCACCACCACACCTGGCTAATTTTTTTTTTGTATTTTTAGTAGAGATGGGGTTTCTCCATGTTGGTCAGGCTGGTCTTGAACACCCAACGTCAGGTGATCCACCCACCTTGGCCTCCTGAAATGCTGGGATTACAGGCGTGAGCCACTGTGTCTGGCCCACTCTTACTACAAAATAAATTTGAATGAAAATGATTGAGATTTTATAAGTAGTAAAAAGGAAACATGTACTTTTAAATAGTAAACATTTTTTAATTTAACTATATCATTTTGCTTCTTAGAAATTTTGTTAAATTGAAGAATTGTTCATATTGTTTCATAGTGAAAAATTAATCTCCCCACGTTTGTGTGTATGTATATGTATTCATGTATTACACATCTTAAAATACTAGACATACTCTATGTATTAGGAGTTTGAGAATCAAAGATTTACTGTGTGTCTTTTTTTTATTTACCTTTTTCTTTACATTCCAGGATACTTGTTCTTTTCTTTTATTTAATAGTTATTTCAGTCCTGAATACATAAAGGGAGATTAAAACTGAGGCAGGAGAAAGATTGAATTTCTTGCCTCTGATACATGGTTAGCTCTTCTCAGATATTGACACAGTTTTTGTCCTAATATCAAGAAATGAATCTCAAATGAGAAAGCACACCCACCTCCAGATGGGTACCTTTTAAGTACTCCAAGCTGCAAAATTCTTCTAAACCAAACACCTTTGAGTGGATTGGTTTTTTCTTTAAAAAATTTTTATTTCAGAGGACTTCTTGTTTTTGATGTCTACTTATATGTCAGTCTCTCTCCTATTACAGAAAAATACTACACGGGAATGCCAGGACTCCAGCAACAGTATAATTTTCCATTAGACATCTGTAGCTAGAGCAAACCAATATTTAAGTGATGTAATGTAGAACCAGAAATGCCAAAGTCTACTTGTTTCCATTTCACCTTCCTGCCTTTTTCTAGTGGGTTTAGGCAGCAAAGAAACCCTTTATCAGCATGCTGAACTGTCAGTCTGGGCATAACTGTTCTCTAAATTAAGTTAAACATTTTTCTTACCTATTTAAAACATTAAAGCCTTGGTTATACTTTTGCAAGCTTGCTATATTTTAATTTCTCCAGGACAGTATAATCAGTTTTTAAAAATGTTTCGAATTTGATTCTCCACTCTAATGCATTGCATATTATAGCAAATAGTAATAGAAGTTAGCTAAATAGGCTATGACAATTAAATTAATAATGCATTTTGTTTGAAAGTATTTAGACCTTGTGCTTTGACTGATATATGCAAAATTATAATTTATTACAAAGAAATCCATATACTTGTACTATAAAGTTTGATGATCCAATAAATTTTGTCAGCATGACTATCATTAGAAACAGAAAGCTAAATTATTTCAAATATTTTCTTTGAAACTCCATGAACACCTGAGTTGATGGCTTATGTAAGATCATACTTGTTTATTCCTACATCTGCATTAAATTATTTTAATGTAGTATCCTACAGTATTTCTCAAATCTTACACACTTAAATTCATACAATTACATATAACCACATTCAATTCACATTAAAAAATAATGAAGTCCAGTTAAGCTCATTCGAAAATATTCCCTATTTTAAATGAGTAATTCTCTTTGTAGTATAAGTAAGCCAAAGCGTCTTTATGACTCTTTGAATTCACTAATAGTAATCTAGAAAACAAGCTTATCTACAATTATCACAATTGGAACAGCCATACTAAGTATATCTTCTGTGAAAGCCAGGTGCAATTACAATGGAAGTGGCTGGTATTTGGAGTTCAGTGCTGGAAATCAGCTGGGCTTTGAATGACCGTGTGAATAGGAAGACAGGGAAATGATTCCTGTAGAGTTTTGCATCCAATCCATTGCTTTTGTAGTGTCAGGGATGCCGTCAGGAGATGTCTGCACTGGCAGGATCTCAAGAAGGCTGATACACTCAGAAGACTACCAAAGAAGAATTTTAAATTAGATGAGTGTATCATAAAGTATAAGCATTAAGTAATTTCATGACCCAGGAAAAGTACTTGTGTTTTTACTAGTGAATACTCAGATCAAAACCTTAGTATTTCTTCCAGTGCAGCCGTTTTTGTCGGAGTCTGGGAAGTTTCTTACCCTCAGTGCATTGTTGTCAGCATAGCTGTTGCATGTGTTCAGGCCTCTGCATTCCACTCAAGACTTGTTAGTATTTTTGCTCAGGCTAAGATTGCCTCCTGGGTCCTGCCGGATTACTGAGCCCTGAAATTTGTGCTGGCCTCTCCCCTTTTATGAGACATTTGGGATTTGGGGTTAGCTGTCTTTCTTTTAGCAGCACCATTGATTTTATTGATGAGTCAAATATTTACCTCACCTAATCTGATTGTGGGGAGAAGTCCGGGAGCCCTAATACTTGTCCTAATTTATTGTAAGCCACTATTACAGGACAAAGCATTGTGTGGGTCTGTTGGAGATGTTCTTGCCTCCTTTTTCTCAAAAACTTGAATATCTATAAATTGAAATACTATAAAGGCATCATTGCTTTCTATTTTTCAAGTTTAGATGTGAGCGTCGCCTGTTTTCATGAATCATGAAAATATGAAACAGCAGGACCTGTGGAAATGCACGTGCACCTGGCATGTACAGGTCACACACATGTCATGCACATGTCACTCACATGATATACACATGGCACATACATGTCACATGGCACGCATGGCACACGACATGCACATGGCACATGGCATGCACATGACATGCACATGGTATGTGCAGTTGTGACTGATTCTGCACCAAGGATGCTCTGGGTTCTTTAGAAGCTTAGGGGCCATTACATAAGAAAAACCGTGTGTTTACAGAAACCCTGAAGAGCTTATTGGGGAAGAGACTAAATTTTTTTCTTATTAGAAGATATTCTATTCGTCATATATGATTTACCTCCTGAGTCACAGTTGTCACTGTTTTCCACTTTAAAGAAACAACTTCTAAGTTGTTCTTGTTGCACGTATTTTATTAAAGGAAAAACAGTTTTCCTCTATTTACTCCATGGTGAATTTCTATAAGGTCAATACTGTTTTCCCTTTTATCATTGAAGCGGGCGATTTATTCTAATGGATGTGCTATGATAGTTTGTTCTGTCTGATATGTTCCTTATGGGCTCCTTTTGGAATATTCTTTGTAAAACTTGCCAGTCACCTGTGTATCCAGGCTTCAGGCTCTCCCCTTTACCCACTACTCATTAGTCTCCCTTATTTCTTCTTTTCTGTCTATGGTTAGCAATATTTTTTCTTTTTCTTTTGTTTTTCCCATGAGGGTTAGTTTAGGAAAAATAAAATGCTCATGGGCATCTCTCCACCTTAAAAAATGTTTACACAGGAAATAATCCTGTTGGGCCAAAGTGGAGGAAAACATGTCAGTTCTTTCCATTCTGGGTTGCTTATTTTGATGTGTGGGGAAGGGGGTTATGTTTT